CTCACCCATTCAACTTAGGTACTTGAGTATTAATTCACACAATTTGACATATATTTTTTTTCAGAGATACATTATGTGGAAAAGTAAAAAGGTATTCTAGGGGCCCATGGTACTTCCCTTTGGAACACAGCCTGTCACTTTTCCTTTTTGTTACCTTATTCTTCCATCTTTACAGCAAAAAAAAAGAAAAAAGAAAAAAGAAGGAAACTGAATGATGTGTTAATGCTTAGGCAAACTTGTGGTCAAGAATGATGGTTTGTGGTTCATAAGACTCTGACATGGGCTGGCAAGATAGCTCAGCACACTAAAGCACCTACTTAGGCAAGCTTAGGCAAGCACCAGGACCACAGCTCAATCTCCAGCACCACATGCCAAGCCGGCCCCACCCCCAGGGCATGCTGAGCTGGCCAGTGTTTGGGAGTGGTGGCACACACCTATAATCCCAGCGTTAGGGAAGCTGAAAACAGAAGGATCACTATAAGTCTGAGATGTGTAGTGAGACCCTGTATCAACCAAATACATTTTTTAAAAAAAGACTCAGTATTCATCATCATAAATTCTATCAATTAATTAGTTATACTGTTGCTCACGAATAATAAACATTCATGCATATGTCTACTGGCTGACAGAATTCTAATAATGAAACATATAAGTATTGTCTCTGGAAAAGAGTATTCAGTTACAATAATTCTTAATATCATGCCTTCTTTGTATAACTTTGTTAGATGTGTTAAATGTTTGTTCACTTATCAGATGTTTATTAAGCATGAAAATATTTCAAGAACTCTACTTTAAAAATTCAGGGTCCCTGAAGTATCAGAATTCAGAAATATTTAAGACTTTATTTACTGATTTATTTTTGCAGTGCTGAGACCCAGCACCTGCACATGCTAGGCAAGAGCAACTCCCAGCCCAAGACCTTACTACAGCTCTTTCAGGTTTCTGGCCTTCTGCAATCACCTGTGATCTCTGGCTTCTAATCCCATGGTTTGGTTTCTGGGAGAATCTAGCTTCCTGCAGTTTAGTTAGCCCCTGCTCTCCTTCAGTTCCAGAGGAACCTGGTTCAATCACATTAATGGAGCATGTCTCCACTGAGTGTACTGTGGTAGTCAGTGTCAAACTATTCCCAGATGAACTCTTCATCAATGCTCAAGTCTCCCTGGAAAGATATCATGGGCATGAGTGGAGGAGAAATGATGAAACCCTCCTTGCTTTCCTCTTTCATGTAAGGAAGACATTTGATCATAGGCTGTGTCAGCATTCACTGGGGATGAAAGATCTCTGGAGACCACAAGGCTTGTCAGCTCCCTATGAGATATTTTAGGATGGGCAAAAGGCAGCAAGTCCCTGAGGGAATGTCTGTTTGCTCAAAATGAAACTTCTCCAGCATTTAGCAGCAGTGACATCCCTGAAGGTATTTCTCAGACATGTCTAGGCGCAGCATGTTTGTTCTATCCACAGCCCTGATGTAGAAGGGATGCTGGCCCCTGGAAGCACCACTCCTCTTCCTCCCCCAGCCGCAGCCAGTGGAGGAGAAAGGGGCACATCCTCAGTGGCTCACCTGACTGCTCACCTGTGACATGGCACTTGTGTAACATAAATTGGGTGCAACAGAATCCCATTTTGGAAAATAAAAATGAGCAAAGAGAGTGAATAAGGCCTTTAAGAGCTGGAGCTAAAGGAGGGCATGAAATGGATAGAGAGGAGTCATAAAACAGAGTTGGGGGCATAAAGAGGTGAGCAGGGTTCAAATGAATCTGAAACAAGGATCAGGCTAATAAAGCAAAGATAATGCAGAAAGGAAATTGTAAGTTAGTGCCCTGAAGAAACTATCCTGGGCTTAACTGGCACAAACCTTGTAAGAAGGTTGTAGAACCTTGATAAAGATTGGACGTTGGTCATAAGGGACTAAAAATGAGGCTGGTTACCACAGCAGCTGCACCACTATCCTAATGTTCCTTAAATTCTTTGCCATGAATAGGAAAAGAAGAGGTGAGAGGCTGGGGGTCAGTCCTGAAACAGACAAGCACTGGTGCAGGTTCTGGGGACAGTGTGTGCCATCTAACTTGCCAGCATTTCTATTCCCACCATCCCCTGGGGTGCTTCCCTTTTTCCCTGTCAGTTGACTGAGGCTGGGCTGGCTCCGCCTACTTCATGGCCTCACAAGTGGACATGTGACCCAACCTAGCCAGTGAGCTTACTCTATCCCCTCCATCACAGGGGTCCAGGCAGGCTAGGTATGTGACCTAATCCTGGGCCAGGAAGGGTAGGTCCTTTTTCCATTACAAAAGGGCAACTCTCTTTCCACTTAGGTTGCTTGCTGGTAGAACGTAAGCTTGGAAAATTTAATGACTACTATTGTCATCTCTTGAGAAAAGAGTGCTTGGGAAAGAGTCAGACAAAGGGGTGCAGCCGAGATATAGGGAGAAACCTAAAAACAGTTCAGACCCTGGATCCAGCTGTGCTGGAATTTCCTAATTCCTCTAGATTATTCCTTATTCTCTCTCAAAGGAGTCTGAATTATATGGGGATATGGTGGGCAACCACTTGCTAGTGAAATAGTGCTAACTAAATATATGAACAAAAACTGAACAATACACTCAAAAAATTGGTGAAGTGGAACAGATTATAAATACTAGAAGGTCTGAAATCCAGTGAGAGTTAAGAATATAAGGGGCCAGGGAGAAGGCTCAGTAGAATAAGCACTTCCCTGGCAAGTGCAAAGGCCTGAGTTCAATCTTCAATTCCGAAAAAAAAAAAAAAAAAAAAGAATATAGTTATTTAAGAGACTTAAGTATGGGCATAAGTAACTAAACGAAATTCTTAGAGAGGGATAAGGCAAGGCCTTGGTAACTGCTAGCTTTCTGTTGCTGACACAAACTACCCAAGAATACCAGCTTAGAAGAGGAAAAGTTAATTTTTCTCATAATTTCAGAGCTTTCTGTCCAGTCAGCTGGCTCCATTGCTTTAATCCTGTGGGAAGGCAGAAATGCCATGGCAGAGAAAAGCTGCTTACCTCATGGCAGACAGGAAAGAGAGAGGAAGAACCAGAGACAGCACGGACCCTCTGAGGGCACACCCCAGTGACTGAATTCCTCTAAGTAGGCCCATCTTCTAAGTGTCCACCATGTCCCAGTAATGATATCAAAGTATGAAGCCATCAACAGATTAGCCCATTGGTGAAATCAGTCTTTATGGCCCTATTATAGCAGCAGACAATAGTGAGTGAAGATAAGCCCCCACAAAAGAGACCAAGTGCGAAGGACTTAGCTTTTATTGTGAGCTGTCAACCAAACAATGCCCTAACTTTGGGGTCAGAGCTCCGAAAATGTCCATAGTAGCCTGAACTTTGCTTTCAGGTTGTGTACTTTTTAAGTTTCCATAGTAACCGCATTACCCCATCACCTCATTTTTGGAATGTTAGAAGAATGTCACAGAATTGCGTCAAGGTTTACATTTCCCAGACACTGTTGACCATCTGCCTGTCATAGGGCAGTGTTGCCCTAGTCCCCAACTTTTCTCTAAGTGGGTTTATGGTTAGCTATGTGGGAGGGGGTGAGGGAGTGAGTTTGAGTGACCCTCCCTTAAAATGCAATCTCTTTTTCCCCATCATTCCCCGCTCAAGGACTTATTTTCCTTTATTAGAGCCTGCATAGATAGTCTTTTATCCTATTTGCTACCTCATACTTGGTGGTTTCCTTCATGACCACCAATCTGTACTGTGGTCTGTCATTTGTTCTTTTGTTTTTGTTTTCATCCACTGAATGAGATAGGGCCCAAAAGTTAGAAGGACAATTGCTATCAGAATGGGGCCAGTCTGGCTGCTAATCAAAGAAGTTAATCAGGAGATCCAATTAAGCAATTGTTATATCAGCCTTGTCTTGTCCCCTGGGGCACAACGGCTTTGCCCTCCATTATGGGCCATCCATCTCCAGACAAAGGGCCCAAACCTTGGGCAAAACGGAAGTGAAAGCAGGTGTGCTAATATACTCCGTTCACTGTAGAATGTCAGGTGGGTCTAGTGGCAGCAGACTTCACATGTCTAAAGATCTCTCTACGGCTGCCTGTTTCAAGACACATCCACAGTGATGGGTCAGGGCTCCCAAAATGTTGCTGCCAACCTGAACTTTGCTTTCCAGTTATATACTTGAGGACTGGCATGAATGCTTTATGATCTATTATACTAAGAGATCCTCATCCCCAAGTTACTAACTGTACTATGACATACTATTTTATTTATTTATTTGGATTTTTTTTCTAGTGAGCCCTGTGTAATTATCGGTAATACTTGTGTAACTAACTTAGCTGCCTATAACATATATTTTTTCTTCATTGAGCTACCTCTAACTGTGGTTAAGGAAGACTGGGTTAAGTTTTTGTTTGTTTGTTTGTTTTTGTTTTTATTTTTTTAGCAGTGGTCAACATAGATGGATTGATTGATTGATTGATTGATTGATTTTAAAAGATGGCACAGCAGAAGGGACTGCAATCCTACAAATGCAGGCCTTTAAGAAGCAGCACTGGGCCAGTCAGATAGCTCAGCAGATTAAAACGCCTACTTAGGCAGATGCAGGGACTAGGGTTCGATCCCCAGCGTGCAGTGCTGGCCTCACCCCCAGGGCATGCGGAGATGGCAAATGAGACTGGGCATGGTGGCATGTGCCTGCAGTCCCAGTGCTTGAGAGGCTGAAAACAGGAGGATCACTATGAGTCCACTCTTTGTAGTGAGACCCTGTAGAGCCTGTACTAATTACAAAAAGAAAAGAAAAAAGAAGCAGAATTATGATAAACCCCTTCTTTAGAAAGGTATCATTTCTACCACTGATATCACAGACTAATTTATATTTTATGCCACCTTCAAGTAACAGTTGAGGCAGTAGAAAACAGAGGCATCACAACGTGTCTCATTTAATACAGATAAGTACAGACAGACCAACACTTGCACAAACTGTTTCCCCTCCTCCTCCTTCTCCTTCGCCTCCTCCTCCTTCTTTTTTGGTATGTATTTAGTACAGGGTCTAGGGGGTCTACAGGGTCTCACTACGTAGATTGGACTTGTAGTGATCTTCCTGCTTTCAGCCTCCTAAGCAGCACAGCACACCAGGGATTGAACCCCTCCTTTTTCTGACTGTCAGTTAAATACAGTTTTAATCCATAGTTTAACAATGAAGGGCCATACACTAAAGTCAGCACATACATCTAGCACTTCAGTCTAAGCTTGTCCATGTATACAACTGAAATGAATGACAAGACATGGCCTAAGACACCAGAGGTAGGTGCTTTTCACAGGCCTGAAACTTCATCTTGCACACCTAAGTCATCATACTTATAGAGCAAAGTCAGAGGTTTATTTTTTTTTAATGCATTTAGTACAGGGGATACAAGGTCTACAGGGTCTCACTATGTAGATTGGACTTGTAGTGATCCTCTTGTTTTCAGCCTCTCAAACGCTGGGATTACAGGTGCGCACCACCATGCCCAGTCTCAATCGCCATCTCAGTGCGCTGACCATCTCAATCACCATCTCAGTAACCCCGGCTGCTGCGCTCTGCCTAAGTGGGTGTTTTAGTTTGCTGAGCTATCAGGCCAGCCCTCTAGAGCTTTTGTATTTGCATTTGTTCTATATTTAACTTTTAAAGCACTACTATATAATAATAAAAAAAAATTAGTAGTACAATCAACTATCCTGGATAATTTTATAATATTTTAAATAGAATTAGTTTCTTAATTTTATCTCCAGAATGTATTTTGCAAATTTACATGAATACAACTGATTTTCTGTACAGAAAAACTACTATAATTGAACATTGAAACAAAAACAATAGTGAGTAGTGAGCATATGATGATTCTAGTCCTTCGCACACTCACCGCTGCACACTACATGCCAGCAGTGAACATTCTGTACTGGTCCCATAAAGAGGTCTGACACTGAACACCACCTCTAGGATGATGTTCATCATCCTCATAGGCTTCTCCATTACCATGGTGCTGTCTTTCCTGATTTGAATCAAAGTCTACCAGTTCTACCTGATTCATTTCATTGGTTTCTTCTACTTCCTTCTTCTCAGGTAAGAGTTTTTCCAGCAATGAGAGTTTATCAGGAGAGAAAAAGCCTTTTCTCAGGAAAGTTTACCTTAAATTTGATGATTAGGTGACCCTTTTCACATGGTCTAAATACACTGGCATGCCTTCATTTAGCACACACTTGATGTCTCCATGCTTGACAGTTTGACCTCGATAAGAGG